ATGGCTAATGCATAATGGCACATGGCTAATGAAAGTGTCTCATCTATTTTTTGGCTATATTTGAAGGCTGATTTCAGTGGGTTTAATTCTGATGATAGAAAGTCGACATTCACAATGACACATGGTCTAATGGACCTTTAGCTGTGTGTAACACACCATTGTACCTCTCCGATCAGGGTGTTTGTTTCTCGTTTAAGGTTATTAAGCTCCTTGGCACAGAAAAGGGAAAAAAGAACAAAACCAACTTGGTCTTCCTGGCAGGAAATCGAGTACTGAAGTCTGTCGAGCGAAGTCACGGCACCGAGAAGGCACTAACCTTGCTGCTTAAGTAATGTCCTTTCCCAGTTTCCCCTTTCCTTGCTTCTCCTCGTCCAGAGAGGAACAGCATGTGACCCTAAAGAGGGATTTCTAGCCCCTGGCTCTGGTGTTATGTTGTCTGCTGCAGCTTCATTGGTGGAGCCCTCTCTGTCCAGCGCCTTGACAGCCCAAACTCTGCCTTGTTTTTTTCCAGAAATGGAGCAGAGGAGCACGTGGAGGCTGTGAAGAGGCTGCAGAATTCTGTGAAGCTGCTTCAGAAGGTACGGCTGTGGCCCAGAGGTCACTCCATCGAGGGTCTGAGCTTTGGTAACAGCAACAGTGTTCTGAATAATCTTATTTCATGAGAATTAAATTTTAGAATCTCCCCTGTGGTGACCCTGGAAGCGGTGAAAATTGTGACTCCACCTGTCTCAGGAAACTCCATCCCCGACTCCACTCCACCCCATCCCTGTGTTCTCGCGCTGACTCCTGGGTCTGCAACATGGGGTTTGCTTTCCTTGCAGAACAACTTGAACTTGCTTAGAGACCTCGCCGTTTTGACAGCACAGAACTTCAAAAGCAATCCGGTCCGAGGCCGAGTGTTTGTGTTACACAGGTAAGGCCCAGATCCGGGGAAGGGGCTCGGGTGCTGCAGCGTCTAACTGGCAGATTCTAAGACCAGAAGGGAGCACTGTAGTCTGAATTCCTGTATAACACAAGCTGACAATGTCCCATGGCAGCTGCCTCCCTCTGCCGTGCATTCAGGGCTGTTTATAACAGACGTCCATTCTTTAAGGGGGAACATAAACTAAGGAAACGGAATATTAAACCAACTGTCTGGGCCTGCTGGAAAGGCTCGTAATTAAAGTCTAACATGTTTGTATTTTGGCTGTTGAACGCTGCTGGTTTTAGAGCCGAGCAGTACATTTGTTTGCTTATCCCTCCCTGCTGGTGGTATTGTCAAAAAAATGGCAGCACTCCATTGGTTACAGAGTAAACACTAATAATTCATCATTTGTGGGTGGGAAACATAGAAAGGATTTTTCTGTATAAATTGCTAATCGCTGTCCTAATGATGAGAGGCCACAGCCCTGACCCTCGGCACAAAGCACGCTCACCTCGGGTCTGGCTTCCAGTTCCCTGACAGTGGTTGATAAGAAGCTGGTGGGAAATTTGACTCTAAAAATCAACCAAAAGCCAAGCCAGCACAATGTCTGGTCTGTGTGGGGTGTTTGGTTTCCGGCTCCGTCATAGAGTTTAGGCCAGAAGGCCTTCACCACCAGAGGTATGTCTGGATTCTCTAGGCCGGGGCATCTCTGAAATACCTTTTACCCTTTACAGGAAAGACGGTGACTCTGAGTTCATGAATATCATCGCCAATGAGATCGGGACAGAGGTGAGCGCTCTCTGGCTTGTCCTCGCCCCTTGTTGGCCCTTTGGCCTCCTCTAAGGCCTATGTAGCCTCTCCCCACCCTTGACCAGCCCTCACAATACACTGGCCAGAAAACAAAGGCCTCGTTCTCCCCAGAATGTTGCAGCCCAAACTGTTACCACATCGGTGCCCCCCAGCTGTGATCTGGAGGGGCCCCGCCTGTCCCAGGGAGGTGTGCCCTTCCTGTTGATCAATGGGCCAGTTAGAGCCAAACGTGGGAAAGGTCCTTGTGCTCCAGACACGGGTCTCCCCCCAGCTCATTTAACACAGGGGTCACCAGACACCAGTCACTGCCTCCCAGGACCGTGTGGGGCTTGTGACCTGGACAGTAGCCCATTTCCGACCCCCCGCCAAGGTAGGTAGTGCTCCAAACAGTCTCCCCCCCAGCAACCTGTTCACAGCAAAGAGGAGGGGTGTTCTTACTCACATCTGGGACTCCCAAGTCTCACTGATCGAAGGGGGGGATGCAGAGATGTTCTGCAGTAGGATCCATCTCTCCTCACAGGACACCCTGCTCTTCCTGACCGTGGGAGACGAGAAGGCAGCTGGGCTCTTCCTTCTGGCTGGGCCCAGTGAAGTGGTTGAAAAATTAGGCCCCAGGTAAACTGTTCTGTGACCCCCTGTAGTCCGGCAACCTTCCTGACCAGCGTGGGGACTATCAGCGCTGTCAAGTCAGCCTCCAGCCTAGTTATTGTCCAAACACCCAGCAAACTCACAAAAGGAAAATAAAACTTCTAGCTGGAGATTTCTACCCAGCCGGGGCATCGCACCTGGAGCATTCCTTCTCCAGCAACATCCTGCTGCTTCTGCAGTCTGTCAGCTCTCCCCCCCGGCCCGCCCAGTTCTTGCAGCTCCTTATAGCCACCACCTGTCCTCTGATTAGCCAGCTGGGCTGCCTGGCACCAGGCCTTTGGTCCTTAAAGGAGCAGGCTGCCCTGATACACACCTGCTACGCTACAATTATTATTAATGAAGGGAAATGAAGTTCTGGCTGCTTTAATCAGATAATTGATTTCACTGGCATCTGGCTCAATATCTGAGGCAGGGCAGCTGGGCCATTTCCCTCCTCTGCCCCCCAGGCACACCCAGTTTGGGGCTGTGAAAGAGAGCACACCCAGCCCTCCTGGTTTCAGCATGTGGATCTGTCCCTTTAGAGTGGCGGAATTGCTGGAAGGCAAAGGAGCCGGGAAACGGGACCGCTTCCAAGGCAAGGCGACCAGGATGAGCAGGCGAGCAGAGGTGCAGGCCCTGCTCCAGGACTTCATTGGCCACCAGACCCTGGAGGAGTAAGGACCAGCCCTCGCCAGAGGATTCCCCCATCTGCTGCTCAGTGACCTGGGACGACAGGGTCACTTGCTGACTCCCTCTAGACGAATAAAAGTTGTGTTACGAGAATGATGTGTGCACGCGCAGAGCCCTGACGACCAAGCTCTGACCTCAAACCGGGTCCTGTGGCTCCGGGATATGCCAGGGAGGTTGGGTGGGGAGAGGAGCAGGGAGTGTCCGGTGTATTTGGGCAGGGGGCTGACGCCCTCTGTTTCTCACTGGCCTGGCCATGATGTTGCAAACTTTCCCCAGATAAACGGTACAACTAGCTTCGTTAACTGGACGCTTCCTGGCGCTGACATTCTTGGGCCAGGGCTGGGGACCACGCTGCCAGGCAGAGCTCCTTTGCCATCCCTCATGGTCCAGCCTCCAGCAAACCCAGGGAACATTGTGCTGTAAGCCATGATCCTTGGCTTTTGCCTCCTTTGCCATTGGTGGCCAGTACCACCCTTGAAAAGCAACAGGCAGTGACTGCAGCGTGAGCGGGTTTATTCCGGGTTACTGGGACCAGTACAAACACCCCTTTACCTGTACTCGGGACAGAATATGGGAAGAGGGAGGTTAATCCCAGTAGGGGCCTGGGCTCTACAATTGCTAACCGTTACAGAGAAAAACGCCGAGGTAGCTCACAGGAGTCCCTAGTCAGGATCCTGTATGCGCTGCCCTCCAGATGAGGGACACGCCTGCAGGAGCCCGAGTGATAGATGTAGGGTGTTGCATCATCATTCATGTTGGCCAAGCAGTTTTCACTTTAACCAGGGCAACAGGAAACCTCGGGGGGTGAGGGGGATGCAATGTTATGGCAGGAATCAAAGGTGAGACTGGCTCATGCTGGTCTCTGTCACCCTGCCTCGCAGAGCTGGGACCCGATGGGAAAGTGGGTGAAGAAGGGTGATATTGGCAGTCAAGAGGAACCAGTCCTGGGAGTTCTGGAGGAAGCGATCGCCTGGATCCCTGCCTCGTGCAGGACATTCATGCCGGCCTCCATTCTTTGCTGATGCTCTGAAGCCACTGCAGGTGCTGGAGGGTTTAACCTGTTTATGCTGGTGCTGCTGGACTGTGCTGGTTAACGCACAGCGTGGGGTCCGGCCTGGCTGCACATGTTATCACTGACCTCTGAACTCAGCAGCCACCTCTGCCAACCTGGCGCTGACCCAGTTACAAACCTGACGCAAGTGTTTGTCAAAATGTGGCCTGGCATTACCTTGAAACGATGAAGCAACATCTTGCACCATACAGACAAACAGGGATTGCAGGCACTCGTGCTTCTGCCAGGGTGGTCACTAGCCGCTCGGTGATCCCTTGGATTCACAAATGACATGTAACCCTTTGCTCACTTCAGGTACATGTAGTCTAAGGATCTGTTCAGCTGGCAGGCAGATTGGAGAATACCGGCATTTGGAGTGTTAATCTGGCAGCTAGGTCTTGGGGACATCTCTGCACAGAAGGAGTCTGCATCCCTCCTGCTGGCCTTGAGTTTCATCTTTATTTATGCGCCTGCAGTGACGCAGTGTCTCTCCAACAGCAGCCTACATTTCTAATTCCTGGTCACAGCAATGCAGGTAATGTCTCAGCAGAGACCAAATTTCAGCCTGTTGTGTGACATCGGCGCTGCTAGCAAACCAGCCAGGTGGGTTTGTTACGATTCTGAAGGCTGGGATTACTCACTGCATTGCACAGCAGAGGTAGCAAGAATTAGGGCTGGGCCTGGCAGTGAGTGGGATCTGGGTTTCTAACACACTTAGGAAAATTGCAGCTGGAATCTCATGTCTGAGGGCTTGTCTATACTTACCGCGCTGGTTCGGCGGCAGGCAATCGAACTTCTGGGTTCGATTTATCGCGTCTAGTCTGGACGCGATAAATCGAACTCAGAAGTGCTCCCCGTCGACTCCGGTAATCCTGTTCGCCGCGAGGAGTACCCGGAGTCGATGGGGGAGCCTGCCTGCCGGGTCTGGACGGCGGTAAGTTCGAACTAAGGTACGTCGACTTCAGCTACGTTATTCACGTAGCTGAAGTTGCGTACCTTAGTTCGATTTGGGGGTTTAGTGTAGACCAAGCCTGAGAGATACCCAACTGCTCCCAGGGGAGTGGTGGGGGCTCACGGCTCTCCAGCATCCCTCGCTTGTGGGCAGGAAATGAGCGGTGCTCCCTCCTGTTCTTGCTGTTCTGTGCACGCTCTACGCACCTCGCTCTGATTAGTGAAAGTTACTGATAACCGGTCAGGAGCCACTCTGAGGCTGTTCACGCATGAGGCTGAATCCTGCGCCAGTTCCGATTTCCTGCACGGATTTGTGTCCCTGTCCCCCCCAGTATGGGGTTTTTGTCCTATGCTTGGTCTGTGGTGATGGGGCTGGAGGGAGGGAGGGTGGTGATGGAAGCCTGAAGCCTTGTGTGAGCATAAAGCTAATGAGAACCAAGATCTATGGGATCTGTCAGCGTGGTCAAATACCCAGGCTATCTGGCCACACTGCATGCAGGCGAGCAGCTCCTGGAATGGACATTCAGCTTTCAAACCCAAATGCCCTAAGTCAACCTCCCTACCCCATACATATCTTGCTGCTGGAACTTCCCCTGCCACTGAACACATAGCTAATTCCAGGCATCGGCCCTGACTCCTGATCTGAGCCACGGGCGCAGAGATCTTCCCCGTGCCAGGGAGCGTGGCCAGAATGGAGTGGTTTCTCGCTCTCCCCGCTCAAGGCCCTGCCCCTGCACAGAGCGAGTGGTAGGACACCAGGTGCGCTGTATTGGGCCCATGGTAGGAAGCGGGAGACAGACCACCATTGCTCTGGGCCTGAAATGGAAACCTGAGCTCTGCAAGCGGAGAAGCTGAACTTTGGCCTTGTTCATGCTTGGTGTCAGTCACTAGGAGGATGCCTGGAACGGGGAAAGCCGGGCCAGGCCGGGGCACACACTGCGACAACCCCCTACAGCAGGGCTCTGTGTTGTGCAGCTACGCCAGTGTCAGTGTCAGCATTCACCTCGACAGAACTCCCGAGTGCAGAGTAGGGGCCTGAGGCTGCTCCTCCCACAGCCATGGCCCTGCTGCTGCCCCTCACTTCCTGCCTTCTAGACCAGTGGTTCTCAACCTTTCCAGAGCCCTGTACCCCTTCCAGGAGTCTGATTTGTCTGGTGTACCCCAAAGTTCCACCTCACTTAAAAACGACTTGCTTACAAAATCAGACATCAAAACACAAAAGTGTCACAGCACACGAGTACTGAACAATGGCTGACTTCCTCATGTTTCCCATATAATTATATAATAAATCAAGTGGAATATGAAGAGTGCACTTACATGTCAGTGTATAGTCTATAGAGCAGTATAAATAAGTCGTCGTAGGAAATTTTAGTGTGTACTGACTTTGCTAGTGCTTGTTATGTAGCCTGTTGTAAAATTAGGCAAATCTCTAGATGAGTTGATGTTCCCCCGGAAGAGCTCTGTGTACCCCCAGGATGTGTGTGCCCCTGGTTGAGAACCACTGTTCTAGAATGCTCCCCTCAGCCAGACAGGGACTGGATAACTGCCCTGGTCTGTTCATTCCCCCGCAGCATCCGGCCCCGGCCCAGTCAGAGACAGGACACGGGGCTAGATGGACCATCGGTCTGGCCCTTTGTGTGACACTCTCTTGGAGAGCTCTGGGTCCCTGTATCTCTGGAGGGCCCACTGGGGCAATGAGCAGAGGTTGCCCCATCAGTAAGATGGCCTGAGGGAGGGAAAGGCTGAGTGGAATTTACTAATTTTATTGCCAAAGGCATTTCACAGCTAGCGCCTGTCCCTCGGCCCGGGGCCCATGGGTGCCGCCCAGCTGTAACAGCCTGGTAACACGCAGACACACCCACGCCTACGGCACTCCTTGCAACCTCAGCCCAGCTTTCCCGCGCTGGGAGCCCATGGACACGCCATCCCTGCTCTGCTGGGGCCGAGTTGATTGACAGCACCGCTGTTCAGTGTGGCCATAGCCAAACGCATTAGCCCAGAGGGGACTGAGCCATAAGATGGGTAGGTGCCAACTGTTCCCCGCTCTGGAGAGCGTTTGGTACGTTGTAGTGTAAGAGGCTGACAAGGTGGCCGAGAGCCGAATTCTGTGTGGGACATCTCCCCCTCAGCTGTGGCTATGCCCTCGGCTGGGACAGTGTTCCTGACCGCCCCGTTATCCACTCACACTCCCTAGAGCAGAGGTTACCATGGGCTGGGCCAGGGGCTGTGGCCGAACGAGGACCCCATTACATTTCACCCTGTGCAGCACTGAGGTGTGTGATAGTCACTCACTTCCTTTCCCACACAGAAGACCGTGAACTTCCCCTTCCACTTCACGGCACTGAGCCGATCACGTAACCCAGAGCTGTGAGGTCCGTGGAGACCTGTTACTGCAGTGGGAAAGGGAAGGGGGAGCCCTGCAGAGCACATTCCCCTGCCCCGAAGAGCAGCCTGGCTTGGCAGCTACGACGCAAGTTTGCAGGTCAGCTACAGGATCTTCTTGTCACCCCTCCTGAGCACCTGGGCAATGCAGTAGGGGATGAGTGCCACCGCACACAGGTGGGCAGCGGCACTCTTGCAGAAGGACAGGACGTAGAACAGTAGCTCTCTGTCTGTGGGGAGGTCGAAGGAGTCGAAGAGGTGCAGGACGAGGAGCGAGGCCGCGATACAGCTCAGGCGGAAGGGCAGCTGCTGGCCCATCTTCCCTTTGCAGCTCTCCAGGTACATCTGGGAGTTGAGGGCCAGCCCCAGCCCAAACAGGATGCCCAGGTTTCTGAGGAGGCCGGCGAAGGGGGTGGTTTCAATGTGGACCCACTCCGGCCGGTCACACCACCTCTTGGCTTTCTCCATGGTCCACAGCAGGTCAACACCGAGAGCCTTCAGCAACAGGTAGAACCCCAGGGCGAAGCTGAACAGGAAGAGGGTGGTGCCCAGGTACCGCCGGAGACTGGCGTTGTAGATGGAGTGGATGTGGTCAAATGCTTCTGCTACTACCATCCCTAGGGGCAGAACAGTCTCTGTAGGTACGTCTACACTGCAGTTAGTGTCGTGTAGTGTATAGACGTTTGGGCCGGGGCTGGGGCCCACGTTCTAGGGTCCTGCGTGGTGCGAGGGTCCCAGAGCTCAGACTGCAGCTGGAGCCCAAACGTCTACACTGCAATTAAACAGCCCCTTAGCCCGAGCCCCACGAACCGGAGTCAGCTGTCCCGGGCCAGCCACAGGTGTCTCACTGTAGTGTGGACGTACCCTCACTGAGCAGCAAACAGGCCTAGCTGCAAAATGTACTGGGTGGGCTCGGTGTAGAGAGGCCTTGGGGAAGGAGCAGGAACCAGCTCCCGGTACCAGGTGCTAGGCACATGTAGTGACAGCCCCAGGTCACCCAAAGTGACTACTAACAATGGGGTGTGCAGAGAACTGGGACCCTCCCTCCAGTGCACTGGGCACCAGGCGCCTGCTGGTTAGCATGTGACCCTGGCGTGCGCTCGCTCGCTCTCTAAAGCACCATGCAAAGCAGTGACATCATGTCAGCACTGACTGATGGCATTAGCCGTGCAAGGGGAGGCCGAGCCCACTAGGCCATGGGTTTGCTTCTCCACACTGCCGACGTGGGTACCTGGGGAAAGACGATCACCGATCCCTGCACTTTGCCATCGTATTTTGAGTACATGGTGCTCCCAGAGCTGAGGAGGTACATCTCCTCCAAGCAGGAGCAAGGCTATCTAGGGCTCAGATCGCCTCTCTGGTCACTGGGCCCTGGAGAGCTGGCGGGTGCTGTGACGGGGGAGGCAGCCTTGACACTCACCTGAGATGACCCCTGCGATCACCTGATGGGGGAAGTGAGCAGCTAGGAAGACTCGGGACAAGCAGACGCAGACCTGCACGGCCCAGAACGCAAGCCACAGGAGGCCGCGGAGGCACCTGCAAAGAGACAGCCAGCCAGGAAGGTCGTGGGCGCACAGGGCAAAAGCACTTTAATAAAGCCACAAGCGGCCTGTGAATGACGGGAGCCTGCGCGCTGGCTGACTGGCTCCTCTCTAGCTAGCACGCAGGAGCAACCGCGCCAGCACAAGTGCCCGTCTCGCTAGCTAGACAATGAGACCAAGTCTATGGCCTACATGTGTCTGCCACGAGGCCCAGACATAGGAGCTGGGACTGCGGGTACTGGGGTGTGGCAGCACCCCCTGGCTTGAAAGGGTTTCCTTCCGTTATATCCAGGGTAAGTAGTTTGGGGAAATGGCTCTCAGCCCCCCTACTATACAAACTGTTCCAGCACCCCTGGGCCAGATGTTAGGGCAACCGAACCAGCGAGCGAAGGCCTTTCCCATGCCTGGTGCCTCCTGCAAGCTGCAGCGCTCAAGCGAAAGGGGCTTTGCCCGGGGCTGGCTGATTGGACCCACACAGATCTGCTGCCAGCTGAGAGTCCCCTCCCCTGTGCTGGGCTTGGCTCAGATCTCACAGATGCTGATGCCAGTTGCTGGGCAGTAACTAGGTGTGATGCAGCAATGGGCGCCGCTGATCCGGGTGCAAAAAGCCCCAGGATATTTCCTTTCGCTCCAGCTCTTGGGGGCTTCGCACGTCCCACTTCTCATGTATCTCCCGGGCCCAGACATAACATGGGGCAGGAATTCATGCTGACCGGGAAGGGGGGGCATTTACCCACAATTCCATTAGTCATCCTCCATTTTGCCTGGTCACCCGTGGGACCCTCCTCAGCAGGGTGAAACGATCCCCTCCCCAGGGCGGCAGCAGCAGGTGGAACCGGCTCACTCAGCCCACTCACCCAAACGGATTGTGGGTGGGGGCCCCTGCAGAGCACCCCCCGTGTGGCCTGGGATGGCCCCGCCAGCTCAGCTCCCTCTGGGTTCTCCGTACTGACACCCAGACCCCAGGAGTGAGCGCAAGAGCCCCTGTTGTGCAGCCTGATTTCTTACCTCTCTCCGAAAGTGCTAAGCTTTTCTTTAGGCCTGCGAGTCCAGCCCTCCTGCCCCCTCAGGCCTCCCACCGCCTCCTCTTCAGAGCTGGGCTGATCCGGGCTAGTTACCGCCTTCAAGCTGCTTCCCCCAGCTGGCCCCTCTGCACTTAGTCCTTTCACCCCTGGGCTGGGAGACGGCAGCAGGCAGGCTCCTCACCTTGCTGGTGTCTCCCCTGTGATGAGGGAGGAGGCAGCACCCTCCTTCCCAGGGCTCCTCCCAGCTGGCTGGGAGAAGGGACCCGTCCCATCCTCACTACCAGGCTCTGGTCCTGGGCTCATAAAGACACAGTAGCCTGGGTTTCCCCCAAGCACTGACTGTTCCTCCAGGATGAACCATCTCCCTTTCTCCCAAGTCCCAACACCTGCTGATGCCCTTCCCTTTGTCCTCCTCTGCTCCCAAAGTCCCAGGAACCCTAAAGGGACACACTATGGAGCAGACTGACCCCTATTCCCCTTAAGGGGACAGTCACCCTGTTATAGGTATCAAGTCATGGGCAGTAAAAACCTGTCCCGTTCTGACTAACACAGAGCCAGGCCCAAGCCACGGGCCACGAGAAGGCCCTCAGGCCACAAGGCCCTGCTCACCTGGCTGCACAGGATCTGTGCTGGGTGCCCTGGACGCAGGGCAGCAGGGCCGTTACCATGACGTAGTAGACTCCAGCAGAACCCATGGCGTGGCCTGAGGGGCTTCCTGTGGAGAAGACCCAGTCCCGATCAGTTAGAAGGGAGAGAAGCCAGGGAGGAAGTTGCAGTGAATCTGAGGGGTGCAATAGCGGGAACCTCACCTGGGCCGGTCTCACAGGTGAGGGGGAACTGCTGGATCACAGGGGTGGAGGCGTTGCCATAGTAACCGGTCTCATGGACCCACCAGTAGGGTCTCTGCCCAAAGAGGATCCTGTAGTGAAAGGAGAAAGTGACAATGGCAGTGCGGGGCCTGGGGCATGTCACGTACCCTGCAGCGCGGATTCCCGGGGGCGGCGGAGCCCTGGCTGCCCTACGCTGAGGGCTGTCGGGAGGACTCTGTGGGGGCAAAATGCTGGCTCCATAACTATCATGATTTATTCTTCTTGCCTTTTCAGCTCACTTATTAATTCAGCACCGGCCTCTGCTTTACCAGCGGTAAAGTGACTTGCTCAGAGTCACAGAGCTAGTCAGTGGCAGAGCCCAAGTGTCTTGACTCCCAACCCTGTTCCTCAATCCCAAACCCAGCCTTCCTCTCAGAGAGGCTACTTCAGACCCTGGGAGGGGTTGGAAACAGCCCCAAACTGCAGCACTCCACAGCTGCTTCTCAGAATCCGCACTCACCACTTAAAGACCAGGTTGAGCCAGTCCCCGATCACGGCCACCCAGATCAGCTTGACGCCCACCGCCTTGCAGAGGTGGAACCAGATGGGGAAGAAGATGAAGAAGGTGGTTTTAAGGTCGGCAGCGAAGGAGATGAAGAGGAACCAGTCCTGGAAGCCCTGGTAGTTCTCCTGCAGGTACTGCACCACCTGCACCCCAGCACTGTGCAGCAGGTCCATTATGGCTCCTGGTTGTGTCTCTTTGGATCCCGTTGTTTGCACTGACAGCTCTGTGAAGCCTGCTGCTTCTTATACCCTGCCAGCCTTAACTCTTTTATGACATATGCAATGATCTTTGATCCTGAGCCACCCCAGCCAAAAACTATTGACAGAGCCAGAAATCTGGAGCAAACTGCCTGTACCCTCATCCCCAGGAATCAATATCCCTCATTTCAGAATTTCCCTCTGGTTACTCCTGGGCGTGTGGGTGTCACTAGGGGAAAGGGCTGAAAGTTGGGGAGTAAGGCAGAGAATTGCACAAAGGCTACAACGAGCTAATTTGGTGTCACTGTTTTAAAAACAAAGACAGGTTTGGTTGGATGTTAACCTGCCTCTCCAGGAGAATGATGGGCTAGAAAACAGACACCAGTAGGGCATGAATCTGTCCCATTTCTCTGAAATCTGTTACTGATTGTTCAGACTAAATGCATTTTAAGGGTCAAATCCTCAACTGGAATAACTGGGCATAGCTCCGTCAACTGCAATGGAGTTACGCTGACCACCCTAAAGCTGTAGGTTGGGCTTTGGGTAAAGCAGGTTGTTTTACTTGTATTTATTCATTTGTTTGACAGGTCAAATGCAGATTTCCCACGGTTAGAAATGCAGCTGTGCCCTGCTTTACCCCTTAGACCTTCTCCAGGTCAAGATGCGTCAGCTGGTAGCACTCGCACCTCTGGGCTGAGGGAGGTGGCTGAGTTCAAGTCCAGATTATTGTTGCTGCAAAGGTGAGACCAAACCCTGGTCTCTTACAGTCCCAGAAAATGTGCCTCCTACAGAAGGTGTCTACATGAGGCAGAAGATGCATACGGGCCAACTTCTGATCTCAGTTATGACTCCACTGAAGCTATGTGTTTGCTCTGGATTTGCCCGGAGTGTAACTGAGATCACCAGCTGGCTGAAAGTTTACATCCAGGGTTGCTCTGGGAAGTGTGTCATGTAGTGCTAGGATTCCCAGTGCAGGACATGTGTGCACATGTGTGCAGCCCAGTGTCCACTGAGAAAGAAGTGAATGATCCAAGTGTAACTCCATCCCTGTCTCCCTTCTTTGCTTGTCCCTAGTTGGGAGGCAGCTGATACTGATCTTTGTTGAGCACCCAGAGTATTCCTGGTTGTACAGATGTGTGCTCCATTGAGATGAGGGAACACAACATGCACCAAAAACACAGAAATGTCTTCTCCAGCTGCACTTTTTCTACTAGGGCAGGCCAGATGCTTGTGATCCCAGCTGCGGAAACATTAGGCCTCAGTAGGTGATTTGTGGAAGGATCTGTGTCAAGGCACGAGGCAAAAGAGTACATGTTTGATGGTAAAAAGCCGAGGAAAAAGGAATCTCCCAAACAATGTGATTCTTGAGATATATTTAATCCCCAAAACCATGTGGGAAATACAGAAACTAACAACCCGGGAAGAGAACCCCCAACCCATCCACAGGGAAAGAAGGAGCCGATGTAAACAAGCAAGACAGCAACGGCCCATGGCACACTCAGGATTTCCACACCGGTCCCTGCAGTGGTTACCAGCAAACAGGAAAACAGCTCAATAGGTGGCGGTGAGGGGCAGTTTGTGACGCAGCAGGATCAGAGTGGGGGTCAGGGCTGTGCATGCCATCAACTCGTGACACTTTGCTGGAGAAGTAACAGGAGATAACAGAGAAAATAAACATGTTCCCTCCCCTCCCATTCACATCTCACTGTTCCACTTGTGCAGGGATCTTACCACTTAGTGTCTCTTTTCAAACTCTTAGGTCTGAGTAACTCAGGCAAAGAAACCTCAAGCCAGTAACAGATTGAAAAGAAACCATACATTGGTAAGTTCCCTGCTCTGGCAGGAACTTTCATCCCACAAGTGATCAGGGCAGACCTGTGCCCAAGTGGGCAGGAGTTTTGTGATATGACCCTCAGGGTTGGTTATTTCCCAGCAGGTCTGGAATCTCGTGTGTCTGCTGGTGAGGGCAGGGAGACACTCATGAAACCTGGTATCAAGGGCTGCATGAAACAACTGCCAACACCCGCTGAGCGCTCCTAGGAAGCAAGTTACAGCTTGTATCTCAGGCAAAATCCAAATGTAAATATCTCACTCCAGGGTTACAGCACAAGCCCAGTGCATGCTGGGATACAGAGAGGGGGTACTAGTTTCAGAAAGGTGACACACACGTTATTTGCACAGGTTGTAAGGGTCAGCTTCATCATGGTGCTACTCCAGGTTTATGCTGGTGTAAAAGCCTTGAGAACAAAGCCACAATACTGGGACACCATGGTGACTGCGAAAGCCAATCGCCCTTCACTCACTGCACACGGAGTTAAGGCTTTGCATAGGTCTGTGTCACATGTCTCAGCACCTCAGTGAGAGCCCCAGGTTGTACAGTTCCTACAATTCCCTTTTCTTTCTGCTTAGCGTATGGCAGAGAGGCATGTGTGCACAGCTGTGTGCATGGGGGTGCAAGGACCATGCCGGGGTCAGGATCACCTTCTACTGCATGAGCGGGGCCAAGGGTAAAAACCAAACCACGCTTCTTTTCTCAAACGCCCAGTGTAAAGCAAACCCTCACCTCCAAAACCCCCTCCGCGCCAGGTTCACAGGACTCTCGCCTCACCAACCGCGACTCTCAGACATTTCTCTGTGTCTTTCAAGGCCATGTAGTTTGTGCAACTGGCACAGAAGAGCCAGCCTGTGCCACATTCAGGTTGCATTGGCTCTGTGACACAGCACCACAGAGCAGTCACAGGCCTGGCGGTCAGGGCTGGGAACTAGAGGCAGCCAGTCCCATGCAGCTCTGCTCGCTCTCATAAAAGCTTTTCCTCCTGCCTCCTGATGAGCCGGGCGATGCAGTAGGGGATGAGGCCGGCAGCAGCCACGGGCACGGCCGCGCTCTTGCAGAAGGACAGGACGTAAAACAGCAACTCCACCTTAGTGGGAGGCTTGAAGGAGTCGAAGAGGTGCAGGACGAGGAGCGAGGCCGTGATACAGCTCAGGCGGAAGGGCAGCTGCTGGCCTATCTTCCCTTTGCAGCTCTCCAGGTACATCTGGGAGTTGAGGGCCAGCCCCAGCCCAAACAGGATGCCCAGGTTCCTGAGGAGGCCGGCGAAGGGGGTGGTGTCAATGTGGACCCACTCCGGCCGGTCACACCACCTCTTGGCTTTCTCCAGGGTCCACAGCAGGTCAACGCCGAGAGCCTTCAGCAGCAGGTAGAACCCCAGGGCGAAGCTGAACAGGATGAGCGTGGTGCCCAGGTACCGCCGGAGACTGGCGTTGTAGATGGAGGGGATGTGCCGGAAAGCTTCAGCCACTCCCATGCCTGATAAGGGAGACAGACATGTCAGCGATGCAGGAAGGAGTCAAGGTACCAAAGCCCAACCCTGTCCTTCACACACCAGACACTCTTCCCGCTTTCCCTGCCTGGGCTGCCGTTACCCGCTGACAGCAAGGCTCCGGCCTGTTTGCAAAGTGTGGGGAGAAGCGGCGGTTAAAGGCCTTCCAAGGCACCTGGGAGACAATCGCTGGAGGAAGAATTCTGCTGACTCAGCAACGCCCAGGTTCCCATTTCCCTCAGACCGGCTGCGGAGCCGCTGGGCACGATGGGGGCGATGACAGACGACAGGTCTGGCGTCGAGGGGGGGAGCAGCAGAAGGCCATAAGGAAGGAGGCTCCTGTTCCCATGACAATGCCCCGAGCCATAACCATCCTGCCCTTCTCCTTCCCTTTGACCTATTTCTGCAGGGCCGGACTCCGAGCCCTTCAACCCAAGTGGCGGCCCAGGGGTCACCACAGGGCTCCCAGTGGGGCCCATAGGCCGTGAGCTCTATGGGGCGGGGACTGGCTCTGCTGTTTGCGCAGTGCAGCAGGGCTGCGTCTCAGCTGGGGGGTACCACCGCAATGCATATCGATAGTAATAACAGCACAAAGCAGAGGGAAATGGACCAAGGACTCCTGGCTGCCCCGTCTCTGTTAGGCTTTGGGGTCGTTAGCTGCTCGGCCAAATTCCAGCAAAAAGCCTGGCACAGGCCTGGGGCCGGGCACATTTTCAGCTGTTTATCTGAAGCCAGATAATTAGAAGCCAACACCCCGTCCCCCCAGCCCCAGCACTGGGCAAGGGAGAAGGGGGGTTCAGAGGGTCCCCTGCTCCCTTTCCCTGAATCAGCCCCCTCGTCTCTCTGCTGCGCTTGCCCAGTTCCAATCAGACTCTCCCCACCCGGCTCCTCTCTCTGTCGCTCCCTGCCCCTCTCCCGCCCAGCCTGGCAGCGAGTGAACGCAGGCGGGGACAGGGCTGCCCAGCGACGCCAGAGAGCGCTGCCCTTCCATGGCAAAGAACCACCGGCAGGCACTCTGTGGGCTTTAACCCCGCGCCTGCTGAGCCAGACCGCAAACCTGTTTTCCCACCTCTGACAACAGAAGCGCTTGGTTTCTTACAAGGGAATAACATGGAAACTTCCCAGAGCTGCATCCAGCCCACCCACCCTGTCCCCCCACCCTGCGGTGTGGGGAGCAAGCCAGGGAACCGCCCGGGCAGCAGCACCTCACCTGCAACGACGCCCGTGATGACTTGGTGCGGGAAGTGAGCTGCTAGGAAGATCCTGGACAGACTGACAGACACCTGAACCCCCCAGAATGCCATCCACAGCGCCCCCCGCAGGCACCTGCAACGAGCAGCGAGAACACAGCAGTCAGTGGGCTGTGGGATTGGTGGGGGTAGGGTGACCAGATGTCCCGATTTTATAGGGACAGTCCCGATTTTGGGGTCTTTTTCTTTTATAGGCTCCTATTACCCCCCACCCCCTGTCGTGATTTTTCACATTTGCTGTCTGGTCACCCTAGGTGGGGGGAACGTGATGAACCGTTTACTCAATAAGTAAGATTTGTGGGACATTTCAGGAGGAGAGACACAGCAGCAGCGTCTGGGACGGAGACCCCAGACCCCGGCTGCCAGCTCTGAACCAGGCCGTCCCAGTGCCTTGCTGCGGGGGGAGACTCAATCCCACGCTGGGGTCTGAACCCACCAGCGGCGCTCCCCATGCAGCTCCAGAGTGCACATGCCATGTGCACATTGACACAGCCCGGGGCTGACGGGCACGAGCCCAACCGGGGAGCCGAGCTGGCCTAGCATCAGAGTACGGTCGGCTGCCACGGCCAAGCCAAGAGGAGCCGCACGCGTCTGGGATTAGCTGGAGCTCATTCTGCCCAGAGCTAATTACACCCCTGGGCCCTGCACCCAGCACGAGGGCAGAGCGGGATCCTTACAGCTGCTGGAAGGGGGATCTCCGGCGCCGACGCAGGGTGCTAAGCAGAGCCGTCACCATCACGTAGTACACTCCAGCTGAGCCCATGGCATGGCCAGAGGGGCTGCCTGTGGAGGAGAATTGGGAGAAGCCTGCAGTGAGCTCAGTGAAGAGAAAACCCCTCCCACGTTGGCTTCTGGCTGCTGGAGAGTTTGAACGCACAGAAGGGAATCATCTCACGGTCTGTTCTAGCCAGGCCACCTGCTACAGGCTTCCTGGGCTGATGTTTGATGGGGCCTTTCCCGAGGACTTTAACTATTTAGACATCTTTCCCTTTCACAGTCTCAGCCCCCGATACCTTGGGTGTCGGCTGCTGCTCCTTTAACTGTCTTTTGTCCATTCCAGGACAGGACAGAGAGCCAGAGCGCTTGACTGTCTTATAAATCGGATCACAGGTAGGACAGACAGACAACTGCCGGGAGCGAGAACCCCAGTTCCAGCCCACCCCTGGTGAAAGGTTAGGTGGGAACCAGACCACGTGGGGGGAAGGCAGCCAGAAGGGGGCTCTTCTCACAAAAAAACCCAGCTTGGTTTTGATCTGCGTGTCACGCTGGCCCCCAAAATCCCAAGCTGGGGATTGGAATCCAGTCTGGCCTCTAAGGATGCAGGAAAGGCCTGGAGGCTCAATGCAGAGAGAGGCGGCTGCAGCCCAGGACAGGCCAGAGTCCACCCCGAAGCTGCCAGGCTGCAGCTTGAGAGAGGAGTTTTAAGCAAAGGAGGCTGCGGAGGTTGCTCGTGTGCAGACGACCCAGACTTCTCTGCCAGGAGGTTAGCTGGCATAGCGCTCGTCCGGCCCATTTCCCACCCGGGGGCCAGTGCAGCGTTGTTACTGGGCAGCTCCCGCCACCTCCCTTGGGAGCATGCTCTGCCCTCGGGGAGGTCTCACCCTTCGAACTGAGACTCAGACGCCTAGGTCAATGAGGCGCACCGGCTGCCCTGTCTCCCAGCACTGCATGGAGCCTGTGCGGTGCGGGAACCAACTCAGGCCTCCAAATGGGCATGAATTCAGGGTCTGAGTTCTGAGCACCTTAGTCCCAGGAGAAATCAGTGGTCACTCAGTAGGATGACTCCTGGGGGTAAAGTGCTACTCAGGACGTGCAGGTGTCCTCAGACGGACCTTTGATTCTACGTTCTTTGGGGCAGAAACCTGCCTCCTCTTGTGGGGGCAGAGCACCTAGCCCCTTTGGGGTGTTACATTCATTAACAACCAAAGACTAACGGTTGCTGTGAGTGCAGTGACTGGTGTCCAGGCTGTGCATTTGTCAGGCTTCTCCTGCGTGCCGCATGTGCACTGTGGAGGGGGGTGGCTCACCTGGGCCGGTCTCACAGGTGACAGGGAATTGCTGGATCACAGGGGTGGAGGCGTTGCCGTAGTAGCCCGTCTCACGGACCCACCAGTAGGGTCGCTGCCCAAAGAGAATCCTGTAGTGAAATGCAATGGGTCACATGGTCAAATCAGGCATCATCCACCCCCCTCTTGGCCAGCACAACCGGTTCATTCATAGAGGACGCCAGGTGGTGCCAAAGTCAGGCCTGGGCTCATTAGCCAGGGAAGAGCGTAAGACCAAGCAGATGTTTTCAGGTTAATCAGAAAGTGTCTGTTCCCAGGGGAAGTGAACTCTGCTCACGGCTCTTGCTCTTTTCCTGGCACCACCCTTTGCCTTCTGACCATTATCTCACTGTGGTCAACAAGAAATGCTCTAGAAGTCCCGAGACCTCTAACCAGCCTTTTATCCCTCCTGAACAGCCTGTTTATTTTAGTCAGCAATCTCTGACGCTGGGTCAAGGCCAGGCAGGGGTTTCTTTAAGCAAGATGATGGCATTTTGGGGGACAAATATAGCACATCTTGGCTATACTGGAGGACACGAGGCCAGATGGGCAGTGTCTGGTTTAAGCCCCCTGAGATGAGCGCTAGTTGCCCAGAAATACACTATTGGGCTGCTGTATGATGGCGTGTACTGCCCACCCAAGCCCTGCACAGCCTGGCCCTTGCCATGACCATGACAGGAAAGGAACAGGAGCTTGAACCAGGTGTTTTTAACAGGTTTAAAGTGAATTTCCTGACCTGGAGAGACCTGCGTTAGGGGCTGAGAGGTGAGAACAGTCGCCAGGGCCTACTGAGGCCTACTTAACATTTAGGTTGACATAGCTACGTCGCTCAGGGGAGTGAAAAATCCACAGCCCCGGGTGACATAGTGACACCAACTTAAGCTCCTGTGTAGGCACAACTAGGTCAAAGGAAGGCTGCGCCCATTGTCCTAGCTACCACTGCTTGGGGAGATGGCGTTTCTACAGCAACAGAAACACCCCTTCCGTCAGTGCAGCCTGTGTCTACGCTATGGGGTCATGCAGGCATCGCTAAGGCCCCTGCTATGGCCTCAAGCCTCGGCCTCTTTACAGTGCCAATGGTCGTGGTGTCTTTCAAGAGCTGGGTTTAACTGATACCACAAGACAAACGTTGCAGAATCACCGCACCCCGCAGCCCGACCCCCAGCAAACCTGCCCTGCCTGAGGAAGAGTCAACAGTGTGCCCTTGTTGCCAAGAAGACTAACGGCATTTTGGGCTGTATAAGTAGGGGCATTGCCAGCAGATCGAGGGATGTGATCATTCCCCTCTATTCGGCATTGGTGAGGCCTCATCTGGAGTACTGTGTCCAGTTTTGGGCCCCACACTACAAGAAGGATGTGGAAAAATTGGAAAGAGTCCAGCGGAGGGCAACAAAAATGATTAGGGGGCTGGGGCACATGACTTATGAGGAGAGGCTGAGGGAACTGGGATTGTTTAGTCTGCAGAAGAGAAGAGTGAGGGGGGATTTGATAGCAGCTTTCAAATACCTGAAAGGGGGTTCCAAAGAGGATGGATCTAGACTGTTCTCAGTGGTGGCAGATGACAGAACAAGGAGCAATGGTCTCAAGTTGCAGTGGGGGAGGTTTAGGTTGGATATTAGGAAAAACTTTTTCACTCACGGAGGGTGGTGAAGCACTGGAATGGGTTCCCTAGGGAGGTGGTGGAATCTCCTTCCTTAGAGGTTTTTAAGGTCAGGCTTGACAAAGCCCTGGCTGGGATGATTTAGTTGGGAATTGGTCCTGCTTTGAGCAGGGGGTTGGACTAGATACCTCCTGAGGTCCCTTCCAACCCTGATATTATTCTATGATTCTGAGAGTCTGTGGAGCACGTGAGCTTGCCTCTCTCACCGACAGAAGCTGGACCAATAAAAGTTATTACCTCCCGCACCTTGTCTCGCTAACTGCCAGTGCCTCTATCACTCATTTAATAAATTACAGTAATATTGATGTGCCCAGAGCTACAATAAATCAAACATGGTATGGAGAGGAAATCAGGCAACAGCGCCCTGCTGGCCCATCTGGGCAGTTTCTCTTTCTAGTATTAAATTACATCAGTTTAACTCAAGCGCTCAAGAAAATGCATTTTTACACGGCTTAATTTTAAAAATACACAGACAGCCCCTTTAATGCACTTCATTCGTAACACCGGAGCCGTTTAGTATACGATAGTAACGTATCTCATGCGAACTTGTGCATGAGGGTGAGTGTGTATGAGTGCACATGTGTGTATTAACGTGAGTGTGCCCCTCCCTGGCTCTCTTATAGACACATAACCCTGGGCCTTGCCTTGGCAGTGAGGCCCACACACTCACCACTTAAAGACCAGGTTGAGCCAGTCCCCGATCACAGCCACCCAGATCAGCTTGACGCCCACGGCCTCGCAGAGGTGGAACCAGATGGGGAAGAGGATGAAGAAGGTGTTTCTGAGGTCAGCAGCGAAGGAGATGAAGAGGAACCAGTCCTGGGAGCCCTGGTAATGCTCCTGCAGGTAGCGAGTCATTTGGACTCCAGAGCTGTGTACAAAATCCATTCCTGTCCCCATGGCCGTAGCTCAGGCTGCGGGGAGATTGCTGGGGCTTTGGGAGGGAATGCGACGCCTCACTTTTTGGGCTGGCTGGTTATATACTGCTTGGGACGCAGATTACATTTGCTTTTCAAAGATGTCCCCCCAATCAAGACACGTTAGCACCAAAGCTCCTCAGCAAACATTACTTCACAGGAGTTTGACACAATTACCTTCTCCAGGCGTCTGTCTCAGCAATTCACAGTGATCTGCGCAAATCAATCATTAACCCACTAGCACTGGTGGGAAAAACGAGACTTTCTTTTTTGCAGCTTTTGCTGTTTTTCCAGCCGCTGAAAGGCTCCCAGGAAGGGGACTGAGGGTCAGGAAAGGGATCTTAACTGTGTTTAATCCAGTACTAAATTGGGCGGTGTGCTATGACGTGGACCCATCTCTCCTGTGGGATGCAAAGTCCCCTGAGTCTGGGCTGAATGGGTCGCTCTGAAAGACGATGACTACGCTCTTCGTTTTCTCAGAAAAATGATTATAGGCTTTATTAATTATTTGTATTAAATAATACAAATAATAACAGGAGGTTACAATTTATACCTTTTATTGTAGAATACGAGTCAGCTGCCTTGCCGAGAAGCAGCAGGGACAAGTCAGTATTTATCGTCAGTTGTTAGACCCCTCACAGAAACCCAGCCAGTTACCCAAAATGACTATGGTGACCTGGGCAGGAGGGTGGGGTGGGTGGGAAGGGGCAGATACCTCACGCCCTCTGGCACGTTGCAGTATTCAGAATATTCCTACATCATGGTTTTGTACTTTGTCACATGGGATCAGGAATTTCATTGTTTGGTAAAATGAGGAGCTGTTATCTTTGGGTTGAGCCAGGAGGAGTGGGCTCGGACTGTGCAGGCTTCCTTAGGATTAGTGACGGTGTTATTATTTTAAAATGGACTTATGTGACCAATGGCCACAGTACCCGATAAATGTTGGAGCCATTCCCTGCGCTGGAGAGTTTACAATTGAAGATAAACAAGGCAAACAAAGGCAAGCCCCAGAACAATAGTTTCTGAAAGGCAGGTTACAGGAATTTCTGGTGGGCAGAAGGCAGGAGGCATTCTGGGAAGAGCTGGATTTTTAAAGGAAGATTTGAAGGACAGGAGGATAAGAAAAGGGAGCGTGTCTGTGTTCCTTACTTCACCCACAGATAGCTCTGTCTGTCCACTGTCAGTGTGTCCAGCCCTGTAGCCCCTTGCTAGGCCAGTCCTTGGCTGCCCAATTCTGCTCTGCCAGTGCACCGCAAACCTGACGTGGACCCCCTCCCACTATTGCAGCCTTAATCCTCTCCTGAGCAGAGACTGGCCACCATGCCAGACTAGCAGGTGATGTTATGATGTGGACATGTGTCCACCAGGGCTTAGAGTGAGACTCATTCAACTCACTCGCTTTTCTGGGACCTGAAACAGGATTTAAACCCAGGTCTCCAAAACTGCTTTGACTGTACCACTGAACCCATTCTCTTCTGGCTACACCGCTGGCCCCGTGTGTGCACACACCCAGGGGCAGCTCTATGGTTTTTGCCGCCCCAAGCACGGCAGTCAGGCGGCTTTCGGCGGCATGCCTGCGGGAGGTCCGCCAGTGCCACGCCTTCGGTGTCCCCGCCGCCGAATTGCCACCGAATCCGCGGGACCGGCAGACCTCCCGCAGGCATGCCGCCGAAGGCAGCCTGACTGTCGCCCTCACAGCAAATGGCCGGCCGCCCCCTGCGGCTTGCCGCCCCAGGCACATGCTTGCTGCGCTGGTGCCTGGAGCCGCCCCTGCACACACCCCACACACCCTTGTGCTTCCTGAACCCCCACCAAAAGGAGTGACGGGACAGTTTTATGAGGCTTGAATCAAGAAAAGAGACAAAGAACCTTTTATGGCACGACAGCGTGTGTGGAGGTGGAGTGCGGGGCAGGTGGAGGCTGGGCGTGCGCAGTGGAGCGTATGGGGGGTGGGAAGGATCGCTGCACAGCGGAGGCACTAGAAAGGGTGACTGTGACGAGAGCGGGCACGATCTGTGAGTCCGTGACAGTGACCAAGGAGGTAGACAGTGTGAGGTTCTTAAATAGTACAAAGGGATGAACTCTGTTCAGACAACAGCTACAGAATCATTCTTCGGCCATCCCCATATCAGCTCCAGGCGGAGAGCAAACCCCATAGGGCTTCCCATTGAGCTTCCTGCCTACATCCTGTAGGACCATGTGTTTCCGTGTGCGCTATCTCCCTTCCTCTGCTCCAGGAAGTCAGCTCAAAGCACAGCACAAAGCAATCACGCACGTCCTCTGCAAGTGCAGCTACCAACAGGGCTGACATTGGCATACGAATGATGTTGATTGTTCCACGCTGGCATTTATGTGTGTCAGCGCTGAGTGCTCCCTGAGCCCACGGGGGCTTTCCAGACCCTAAAGAGTCAGGAAACCTCCAGCCATCACAAACAGTGAAGCCACATGCGAGCCAGGTTTGCTAAACCCATACTAATTGCTGTGAGGAAAACGTGTGTCTGAGCCAAGCTTGTTGTGACTTTAACCCTAACCCTGACACTTCACAAATAACAGTGAAACTTCAAAGCAAGTGGGCAGAGCACAAGGCGCAAACGCATCTCCCCCGTGTTGGTCCTTGATTTCAACACTGGGCTCATTCAGGAGATGCCAGTGACCAGAGAGGGGACAGCAGCTGTGTCTCTCCCTCCCGCGCAGGGGACTGGGCTGCCCCGAGGAGCCCTCCCATACCATCACTGGACTCACTGTATGTCTCTTCCACTTGATTATTAATAATAATAAAATGCAGCCACAAGCCAATCATGTCCAGGACTCCAGGGGCAGCATATCTGCCAAGTGAGCCTCCAGCTGATTGAGCGGCTAGGGCAGACGTGGGCAAACTACGGCCCACGGGCCACATCTGGCCCACGGGACCGTCCTGCCCGGCCCCTAAGCTCCCGGCTGGGGAGCCTAGTCCCCGGCCCCTCCCCCGCTGTCCCCCCTTCCTCACAGCCACGCTGCCACGCGGGCCGCGCTCTGGCCCACTGCTCCCACTGGGCTCCTGCTGCTGGTAAGGGGGCGGGGAGCGGGGAGGGAGGGGTTGGGGAGGGGAGCAGGAGGTCCTGGGTGGCAGTCAGGGAAGAGGGGGCGGTTGGATGGGGCGGAGGTTCTGGGGGGGCAGTCAGGGGATGGGGAACAGGGAGGGTTGGGAGTGGGAGTCCCGGGGGGCTGGGTGGTGTGGATAGGGGTTGGGGCAGTCAGGGGACAGGGAGCAGGGGGGTTGGATAGGGGGCAGGGGTCCTGGGAGGGGGCGGTCAGGGGACAAGATGCAGGGGGGGTTGGATGGGTTGGGGGCTCTGAGGGGGGCAGTCAGGGGGCGGGAAGTGGGAGGGGTGGATAGGGGGTGGCGGCCAGGCTGTCTGGGAGGCACAGCCTTCCCTGCCTGGCCCTCCATACAGTTGTGCAACCCCAATGTGGCCCTCGGGCCAAAAAGTTTGCCCACCCCTGAGCTAGGAGCTGCACTGAGTTGTTCTTTATGGTAGAGCAGCTGCCTATGGGGAGCTGAACTCTGGAACTCTTTCCCCTGCAAGGAGGGAGGAGAGAACCTCTCCCACTGTCCGGGGGCTGGATGGAGGGTTTCCTGCAATGCAGTATAGTGGGAGGACTCCAAGGCTGTCTCAGAATGGGATGCAGAACCCAGGACGATCTGTCCCATGGAGAGCGTTCTTCAGCTCACCTCTTTAGCCCCATGGCCCTACGGTTACTGAATCTGCTCGGCCTTAAAGGAATATTTAACTTTTCTTAGCCCTTTTCCTTGTTCCAAGTGGGACATTTGCACTGGAGCAAACGTACAAGAGAAGGGCATTCACACCCCAAGGTCCCAAGCCTGCCTATCACCGGCACACCTGTGCAACCCCACTGCACTTTGAATTGCTTAATACACTTGTCATTACTGGGCCTGTGTTTTGCACATGGCCTAAGGCACCGTGGTTCTGTGTCTTTTATTCTGACCCCAAAACTGCCATTCCCCCACACACACACACACACCCCCATTAGCTATATCCAAAATAACAGAGTAGCCCTAACCGTGTCGCATGTGAACCAGCATTATGGCAAAGCCCGTGAAAATAGCCAATACTTCTAAATCCTTCTGTAGAGCTGGGCCAGCCTCTCCCAGCTCCTCACAGGCTGAGATCTGAGCAGTCAGGAGGGGACCCTGGCACTGAGCAGATCAATGCCCCAAGGATGGCTCCATTTTCCACACTGGGCTTCTCTAGTGAGTTTGCTTTGCAGCCGCTCTGCTCTGGGGACAAGCTCTGGCAGCTGAATGCCTCGCCAAGCCTTCGGCGTGAACTGTTAACTGACCCAGGCAGCCCAGAAAGGGCAGTTGAGCTCCGGCTCCAGGGGCTCTGTCCGCCCTTCTGCCGGGCAATACCCAAGCCAAGCGGGAACCTGCATTTGTTAAGCTTTCACTAACCACCAGTGGCTGGGGGATTCCTAGATTCCAAGGCCAGAAGGGACCATTGTGATCATCTAGTCTGGCCACTTGTGTAACCCGGCCACAGAATTTCTCCCACATAATTCCTTTTGAACTAGAGCAGATCTTGCACACACACACAAAAATCCAATCTTGATTTAAAAATGGCCAGTGCTGGAGAATCCACCACGACCCTCGGTAAATTGTTCCAATGGTTAATTACTCTTGCATGCAAAAACACACGCCTTCTTTCCAGTCTGAATTTCAACTTCAAGCCACAGGATCGAGTTAGACTTTTGTCTGCCAGACTGAAGGGCCCATTGTCAAATATTAATTTCTCACCTAGGTACCGACAGACTCTGATCACGTCACCTCCAACCTTCTCGTTGTCAGGCTGACGAGACTGAGCTCCTGGAATCTCTCGCTCGAAGGCCAGTTTTCTGATCCTTTCATCATTCTCGGGGCTCTTCGCTGAACTGGCTCCGGTTTATCACCCAAGATGCACAGGAGCTAACTCGGGGGTTGCCAGGCCGCGCTGCTGCTGCTTCACCCTCGCTGCAGGTTACACGGGCCTGGGGTAGCCTGTTGCCAGCTGCCCTCACGTAACGCCTGTCTGCACCCAAGGGTTGGCAAATCCCTGACTGCCCAAGGCCTACGGGGCAGGCTGGGCTCTTGTCCTCATTGCACTGCTGGGAACAGCCCGAGGTACAGAACAGCTGAGTGACTGGCCAAGCTCACAGAGGGAGTCCGTGGCAGGGCGGGGAAATGAACCCAAGCCCTAGGCCGGTGCCCTGACCCCTGGGCCACCCCTCCTCTCACAGCTGCCCGGCCTTATTGGCCCAGGATCTCCAACCAGCCCTGCGAGGCTGACGGGCCGGCCTGGAGGGCAGGAGCCTCTGCCTGGTCCATGGGTCTGGGGGGCCGGGCACGGGCTCCTGGGAATTTTACCTCAGGATTTTTAATTCAAACCCGCTGACGTCTCCATGGCAACCCGCCCCTCCGATTCCATGGGGTGGTTTGTGACTGCACGGGGAACAGGGGGCTGAGTGTGGGGAGAACTCTCCCGCCGGCCGGAGGCTGGGCCGGCCCTGCAGCTCCCTTGCCGCGGGTGCCTCTGCAGGAATGGGGCTGAGAGCTGAGGGGGGGAACCTGCCCCCACCTAGGGTGTGCCCAAGATACAAAGCCCCTGCTCTGGCACCCAGTGCACCCCCCCAGTAGCCAGAGTGTACACGGGGCAGGGTTCACGCCTGGAGTCCCACACACACAGCGCTGACCTAGCACTTTACCCCTGAGTCGATGGAGTTTCCTGGAAGCAGCGGCCGGCTGCCAGGACAGATTACTGCTGACAAGAAGCGTTTTCTTGGCAAGTGGAGGAGCTGGGGCTCAGGCTGTGAGCTGGGCCAGAGGCAGAGACAGCGTCGCTCGGTGCTGGCTACGTTGCTGTACATTGGGAAACAAAATCAGAGGCTAATGGTCGTCAGACTGATTAAAAATAAACAGCCAGATCCTGGTTGGTGTAAACGGGCGTAGCGCCACTGCCCGAGCAGAGCCACACCGCCGTGCGCTGTCCCTGGCTCTGCCGTTTGGTGAGCGATCGGCCTGGCTACGTTACAGTAACAGGTTATTTGTTAATCAGCTTGTGAGCTCTTTACAGCCGGCACCAGCTTCGCGTTCTGCCCATGTTCAGTACCTAGCACAACAGAGTTCTGGTCCACGAGTGGGGTCCCTAGCTGTTATTGCACTACAAATAAACAATAACATGGGTGCCCTCTGCCTTGGCACCCGGCACCAGGGGTCGGGCGGGGAGACCTGGCTGCTGCTTTGAAGTTTTTAAATATATTTGATGTATTAATTTGCTATTTTTACACCAACAAGAGGAGAGACGAGAAAACAAATGAGAAAGGTTCCATGGCTCCGGTTCACAAAGCCCATAACCATGTGCTTCGTGCCACACCTGTTCAGGTTAAAGATAGACAGGTACTTAAGTGTTGTCCTGGACTGGGGAGCTTGCCTGAATCAGGGCCTGTATGAACCAGTCCTGATTTGTCCAACAAAACCTGAAGAAGGGCTCGGGGTAGCTTGAAGCTTGCCTCTCACCAGCAGAAGTTGGCCCAATAAAAGAGATTACCTCCCTCACCTTGTCTCTCTAAAGCCCTTTAAGCACTCCAAGGCAGAGACATCCAAGTAGCTGTTTGTGGTCAGCACAGGTGCTGGCTCCACCCCTGGTTTCCAGCTGCGAAATTCCATTAAAAGTTGAAAATACATGCCTTTCCTACTACCCCTTTCCCATGAAAACAATCGCACTGGCTGTCAGAGAGATGTCATGCACGCAAGGGGAGGTGGCCAATGTGGTTGTGGGTGGAAGGGGAGGTTTTCCACAGGACACACATGCTGTTAAGATGGGAATGTTTCAGAACCCCTGCCCCGAGAATAAACAAAATACAGCTGAAAGGATAAAGCAAAACAGAGAGCTAATCCAAACTGCCTGGTATTTTCAGATGCTGGCACGTCACCTTCAAGCGATAGCTAGAGTCATGCTGCTTGTTTCTGATCAGGAAAGTTCATAAGGAAATAAGCAATCGATCCAAGTCCAGTGTTCTAACAGAGACAGGGGACATTACTTCACAATCCTTTCCAAAGGTCACCTTTATCCCAGGCTCACAAAGACCCTGCTGAAGAGCAAGGCTTTCAGTAATTACTGTTATCTGTATTACAGGCGCACTGAGAGGCACAGAGCTCGCAGCTGCCAAGTACTGTGCCGACGCACTGTGAGAGACAGTCGCTGCTCCAAAGAAGTTACACTCTAAAGAGACACGCAGGGAGAAAGAGGGTTAGTATGATTCCATTCCACAAAGGGGAGTCACAGCCCGAAGCAAGCGGTGAAGTGGCGGGGCCAGGGACATACGAGCAGTGTGAGAACTGGGAACTGAAGCTAGACCTCCAAGCCCCGGGCCCCTGGCTTAGCCACGAGCCCATCCTTCTCCTGTTTGCTTTTGGGGGGGTGATGGAGACATGCATGGCCAGTGCTACTCATCCCTTCTCATTACAGCTCCTGCTCCTCCCCCAGAGCCTTTGGGTTTTTTTAAATGAAAGAGAAGGACCAAAAGAAGGTAAATGGGCTGTGATTGCTGTTTGCCATGTTCTGGTATCAGAAGCAACCGCGGAGTCCTAAGCGTTCTACTTTCTCTGTCAGGAGGAGTGCATCCTTCATAGCCCAGGCCAGCAAGTTAGACAGTTTAATGGCATCACGTAAAATGTACTGGATTAAATTTGACTGTCTGTAATAGCTCATTCTCTGCAAAAACCAAGCCTGTCACACAAGACGTGTCGGAATTAGAGCAAGGAAGAACTGGGGTGGGCAGGGGATAGCATGTGTCCCCTCTGGGGCTGAACGGAGGGGGTACCTCATACAGTTTTGGAGCAATAACTGGGACTAACTGAGTGATGGTGGCTGCGACACAGGGCTTTAGATGGGTGTAGGCATAGGAACGGGGGCTCTGAGGGCAGTGGGGGAACTCCCTCCCTTGGCAAGAAAGCACTGAGACAAGCTGACAAACAGAGAAATGCCGCGTTGTGCATAGACACAAAGTCCACTGTCCTGAGACAGAGAGCTGCTGAGGCCAGGGGGTTGCTTTGGGAGGCTACCACTGGTGCGTGAATTTGAGTGTTGAGTGCTTGGGGAGCACTGCATGCCCTGAACCCTACGATGGCAGCCACTGGGATCAGCCCATTTCACACATTCCACGAAAATACATTAACTGCAGATTAAAGGGCTGAACTTTCCTTTTCTAAACGGGATTTATTTTAAATTGAATCACGTTGAACCAGGACTTTTAACAGTCGAGTTAGTGGCTGGGGTGAGCCCAGTCCAGCGCCTTCATCTAGTCAGCAGCACACCCTGCTTAAAGCCCAGGTCTCAGAGGGGGCAGCCAGGGACATGCCAGATGGCTGGTGCCGAGATGTGTGACACCAAATCTCCCGTCTCCCCCCGGGGCCCGTCAGACAATGTGACCCTGGTGATGAAACCAATCATTCCAGCCCCTATCCTGGTCCATCCTGGGACTGCTTCCCCTTTGTGTTTTAGTTAACTCAGTTATTTAAGGGACAGGTGCTGGGCTGCCAGCCCTGGAGACTGAATCTTACCTCTCCAACACGCACAGCCCAGCAAGCATCCCCTGTCCACTGCCCTGCAAAGGAGCCCTGACATGCCCAGATGTGCCCATGTCCGCCCCACTCCCAGTCGAGAGGCCCAGCCCCACCCCCAAAGGCAGGCTTGCTGAACCAGAGAGACCCGAACCGGTGTCGCTGCCAGGAGGTGAGGCTGTTTGACAGTTGGAGAGTCTGTGCCCAGGCACCTGGTAATGGTCAGGAGCAGCGTGGGAATATCTCACTTGATCAGACTGAAATAGCAGTTCCACGGGCCTGGGTAACTGTTACCCGCCTTGCCACTGCAGCAGCTGTGCGTCCCTGCCAGTGCTGACCTGGGCTCAGGACCTGGCCCCTTCCCTTCAGGGGAGAACAAAGACGTCTGGTCCAGCTCTGGGCTGTCAATCACACCAGCTCCACAATGGACCTTGCAGTGCCAGGGTAGGGTTTGTGCTTTTCCGGGTTCGTTTCCAATCCAGCGCCTACAGAGACACGGGGCTCACACAGCGATTGATTCTGTACAAACCCCTTCCTGAGTCTGCCTGGCAGACGGGACACTGTGCTCCTGCCAGCCAGGCCCAGTCTGTGAATTCCTTGTTCCTCTTGCTGGTGGGATGGCCAGGTAAGCAGACAGCGAGCTGCTTTAACCAGTGACCAATAAAGCAAAGAGCAAGGGAATAAGTGGGAGTCGCTGACTGTGAGTGATCCCATGGCACTGAGCCTCTGCCCCCTTCCCCCTCCCCCGGACGGTCCTATGCCAGCAGTGTCTGGCAGCATTTGCGGGGTGGGGGATGGCAATAGGGACTTTGTAGGAGGGTCCAGTTATCTTCCTCCATAGTTTTAAAGTGCATCTGGCAGGGGATAGGTGAGCAGCATCCAGAGAGGGGGCTGGATTCCCCCAGGAGCAGGGAAACGTCCCCTGTCCAGCCAAACACCACACATGGGAGAGTCACTCCCCACTCAGCACCCTCACTCCGGGACGACCTGTGGCTAAGACGTACAAAGGACTCATGGCGGGTAATGAAATACAGCTCAGGCTTTAATAAAATACCCCACTTATATACAGACACTCCCCCCCACACACACATCACGGTTTCACATTAAGGTAATTTCAGGACACTGGGTACTTAGTGGGACACAGAAGCCAGTGAGCCCCAGGGTGCGGGTACGTGCCAGCCTTTCTGCCATGCGCCCTCGCTTTGTCTCCTAACCTAGCACCCCACAAACAGCCTCTGCCCTCCATGTCTGAGGAATCCTCCAGAGAGCACATGCAGGAGCGAGCGTCCTGTGGCCCAGAGAGTGCCAATCTCCTTCTCACCCCATACGGCAAGGGGCGGCAGCAAAGCCAGGCTGTGCCCTCAACAGCGCTGGCACGACCCGCAGGGGAAATGGCCACGCTTTCTGGAGGCTCCTGCCTGCCACGCGCTGATTCCCAGGCCCCGCGGCCGAGCCATCTGCACATTGGCATGGTCTGTAACGTAGGCAGCAGCTCTCCTGCACGAGCCAGACAGGAGCACCCCTGGCCATGCGAGCAGGAGCTGGGCTGGGCTGGGCTCCGGACAGAGTCACCCTCCGCAGACCTAGCAAGGAGAGCGCCCTGGAAAGGGCTTGTGCTAAACCAGTATCTGCTGACTCAGGTTCCAGTCCTGGCACTGGGACCCAGAGACATGGGGGAGCCTCTGCTCCTGGGACATGTCACATGTCGTGTGCATAAATACCCAAGTTCCTTCCTTCTATAAAGCTTTCTTATCCTGTTGGCTCAGGACCTGGGCGACGCAGTAGGGGATGAGGCCGGCAGCAGCCACGGGCACGGCCGCGCTCTTGCAGAAGGACAGGACGTAAAACAGCAACTCCACCTTGGTGGGAGGCTTGAAGGAGTCGAAGAGGTGCAGGACGAGGAGCGAGGCCACGATACAGCTCAGGCGGAAGGGCAGCTGCTGGCCCATCTTCCCTTTGCAGCTCTCCAGGTACATCTGGGAGTTGAGGGCCAGCCCCAGCCCAAACAGGATGCCCAGGTTCCTGAGGAGGCCGGCGAAGGGGGTGGTGTCAATGTGGACCCACTCCGGCCGGTCACACCACCTCTTGGCTTTCTCCAGGGTCCACAGCAGGTCAACGCCGAGAGCCTTCAGCAGCAGGTAGAACCCCAGGGCGAAGCTGAACAGGAAGAGGGTGGTGCCCAGGTACCGCCGGAGGCTGGCGTTGTAGATGGAGGGGATGTGCCGGAAAGCTTCAGCAACTGCCATGCCTGTAGGGAACAGAGCGTGAGAGGAGAAAGAACCCGTCAGAGTGAGGAAACCGGTGCGCAGAGATGGAGCCACAGAGGCAGCCACAGGGCTCCCAAGACAATCAGCAGCTGGACAGCTGTGGTGGAGTTTCACTCCCGAGAACAGCTGCCCCAAGGGGCTTCACAGCATCATCACAGAGCTGACTAACGACTCTCTGCACTGCCACCTCCCTGGGAACGATTCAGGTGGCAGTGCCCACTGTGGGCACAGAGAGGCAATCTTAACCCCCCATCCCTCCCTAGGCTAAGATCCCCTCCTCCTAGTGCCAGGCCCTCTGTGCCCACACCTCCAGACAGTGCTGGCTGGCAGTAAAACCTGGCAGTGACTGGAACTAGCCGGCTAATGTTCCGTCTGGCTCAGCCGGGTTACTGCATTTCAGAGCCTGGGGAATAAGGGCTTTGCAAAGGCATGTGCCTCGGGCACGCGGTCTGGGACTACAAATGCAATCATACAATCGTAGACTTTAAGGTGAGAAGGGACCATTTTGATTGTCTAGTCTGACCTGCACAACGCAGGCCACTGAATCTCACCCACCCCCTCCTGTATCAAACCCCTGACCTATGCCTGAGCTATTGAAGTCCTCAAATCGTGGTTTAAAGACTTCAAGGTGCTGAGAATCCTCCAGCAAGTGACGCGTGCCCCACGCTGCAGAGGGGCAGTGCAGCGCAGCTGTCCTGTGATATTTCACTCGATGCAATGCACTGCCCAGGACACAGGCTCTGTAACTGGAGAGCGTTCAGAGAAGGGTCACGAGAATGAGGAAAGGCTTAGAAGACCGGCCGGATAGAGAGAGACTCAGGGAGCTCGATCTATCTACAGTCGTTTGAAAGAGCAGGTTTAGGGGTGACTTGACCACAGTCTATAAGCACCTACATGGGGAACAAATACTCGATAACAGGCTCAGTCCAGCAGACAAAGGCCTAAAATGATCCAATGGCTGGAAGTTGAAGCGAGACAAGTGCAGACTGGAAATAAGACGTACGTTTCTCATGGTGGCAGTAATTAACCACGGGAACAATTTGCCCAGGGTCGCAGTGGATTCTCCCTCACTGGCAATGTTTAAATCTAGATTGGATGTTTTTCAAGAGACCAGCTCTAGTTCAAAAGGAAGGACTGTGGGGCAGTCCCATGCCCTGTGTTACTCAGGGGATCAGACTCGATGAGCACAACAGTCCCTTCTGGCCGTGGCGTCTATGAACAGCTGGCCGGTGGCCCCTGCGCCCATTGCTCAGAGTGACAGTAACCGTGCGGTTTGTACAGGGAGAGGCGACGGTGCACACGATCACTGACCTGAGATGACCCCTGCGATGACTTGGTGAGGAAAATGGGCAGCAATGAAGACTCGAGACAAACAGACGCAGACCTGGACGGCCCAGAATCCTGCCCACAGCGCTGTCCGCAAGAACCTGCCACAGAGAGACATTCTGGTTAGACGCCAAGGTCAGCGGAGCGCGGCTCTGCGCAAGGCCACGCTGAGGCTTTCCCTCAGGGGAGCAGGGAGGCTGAGAACTCAGGCGTCTCTCCCGGCTGGTAGTGGCTGAAGTTCCAGCAGGTGGAGAAGAGGGAGGGTCACGTTATAAAGCCCTGAATGCCAGTCCCAGAATGGAAAGTGGCATTAAACACCCCCTGTGGGGTGACTAGAGGTTCAGAACCAGGGATTTGCCTCTGCCATGACCCAGGGAAAGCTTAAACTTCCAGGAGGGGCCCCAAAGCGCTTGGAGCTGGCCTCCCTCCGCTCCCACTGACAGCAACTGCAAAACTCCCACTGACGTCAGTGGGGCAGAGCTCCTCTGATCACCCCACTCCCCTAAACCCGTCGTGGCCTCATCCAAAGACTCCCATCAATTTCAGCGGGCTTTGGATAGGTTTTAGTCCAGGCCCTTCACTTCCTTCCCAGCCACTGCACCAGGCGTCCAGTCTAGGGGAGGCACGAGATGCGATTCTCTTTATCTAGGCGTTAGCTGGCTCGGCTGCCAGTGGGATTCGTGCTCATGCAGTTATTCAACCCTTTCTAAAACCCTGTGTCTGTGTGTGCGTTGGGGTGTATGAGCCTGTAGCGCTGCCAGCCTCCTGCAGCAGTGAATTCCACAGTTCCACTGCACGCTGCATGAAGACTCATTTCCTTTGGTTCAAAATGCACCTCCCTCCGGCCTCAGGGCACACCACTGACCCTGCAGACACAGGGACACAAGAGTCTGAACGCTGCTTACTGGTCTTTAATCGTCGGCTGCTTCTTCCCCAGAGCAATGGACAGAATGGCTGTCACCATCACGTAATAAACTCCTGCAGAGCCCATCGCATGGCCGGAGGGACTCCCTGGGGGAGAGAAAACACCCGCGTTACACCTTACCCTGGCCACTAACAACAACCTCCTTCCGGGTGCCTAGAGCGCTGGGATCACCCAGACTAAAGGCCAAGAGGCTGCCTCAGCCCAGCCCAGCACAGCTCCCTGCGCAGGGCGCTAGCGAGTTGACGGGGAGGGGCAGGCCCAGAGGGAATCCCCCATGCGAGGCACTGGAGAGGGGTGTCCTTACTAGGACCAGGGGTGTGTAGGAGGGAAAAGGAAGTCGCTCAGCAAGGGAGGGACCCCGCAGCGCTAGCACAAGGCCAGGGGAGCTCTACAAGATTCCTCAGGGTCTGTGGCCCCGCCACTCACAGGCCCAGCTCCCCACAGACACCATAATGGTGATCCTGCCAGAGTCCTTGGCACATATGCAGAGAGAGCCTCCCTCTATGTATTAACCCGCCCACTGGTCCCCTGCAGAGACCAGCCCAGCACTCCACAATCGTAGGCCCTGTCTTCACGGCATGCTCAAGCCCGTTTCCCCCCATCCCCCGGTGCGTGTTCACACATCCACACCCCGCTATCAGCACCGCCCGGCGAGGCAGCCACCACGCTCTGGGCTAGCGGGCAGACCACCCGGTCCCCGTTTTCCACCGTTGCCCAAGGCTACAGAAAGAGCATCAGTGGTAGAGGCGGCATTAGGCTGCAAGGCTCCTATGCTCACGACTACCCGGCTTTCTGCTCTAGCCACAGACCGCTCCTTAGGGAGACGCAGCTCAGCAGGCAGAGGGAATTGATAGTCACATAGCACTGGAGAGACAAGGCAGGGGAGGCAACGGCTTCTATTGGACCAACTTCTGCTGGGGAGAGAGACAAGCTGTCGAGCTACACAGAGCTCTTCTTCGGGTCTTCGTCTCTCGCCAACAGACGTTGGCGCAACAAAAGGTATTACACACACACACACACACACACACACACACACACACACACACACACACACTACTCTCTCTACTATAC